GCGGGGCCTGGTGAACGGCCTCTATCCGCCCGGGGCCTTTGTGTCGGTGTCCCGGGACCGCACCACCCGCCTGTGGGCCCCGGACAGGTGAGCGCTGCGAGCCGGTCCGCCCCCCTGCCGTGTGCACGCTTCGGGCCGGTGGGCACCGGGTGACCGTGCCCGGTCCCGCCGGCTGGCACTTCCCTCTCTTCCCGGTGTACAGTCGACGGGAAGCCAAGGGCGTTTACAGGGAAAGCGGCTCGGGATGGGGATGGGTTGGGGGTTTGGGGGGTGGGGGGACCAGAGACCACTGGTTCTAACCGGACCGCTAAGCCGCGGGTGACCTTGGAGAGGCTGTTACTTTGGGGGGCGGGCTACCGTTTTCTTATTTGGAAAGTGAAAAACTTTTGGACGACGGGATCTTTCAAGTTTCCTTTAGCCTCGCCCCCGGCATGCCAATGAAATGTTATCCACCACCCCCTTGCGTTTTCGCTCTAGTTTCATGCCCATGTAATTTTTTAAAACCATCCGTCTGAAAACTTGCATAGCAAAAAGTTGCACTGGCTACTCTCGCGGTCCAGGTCGGAGTTCCTTCTTTTGGGGGGGGGGTCTGTGATCGGCTTGAGCGGAGTAGATAAACTGTACCCATACGCCTTATGGAACGTTCAAGACCTGCGCCTCCAGTCTAAAAGTAACGCCCGGTTTGACTGCAATTTGACTGCAGGAAACTGCAGGCCTGGACGATAAGTTTCGGTTCAGGAGGAAAAAGGGAATTGGAGTGTGAGGTATTTGTTATATAGTGTATCTGCTTTCAGTGGGGGGTATTCTCAGCATTTGATTCAATTAACTATTCAGTGCCTCATAGTTGTTCGGGGTCGAAGGATAACAAGACAAGATTCCTATGCTTGTATGGAACTTATCAATAGTTTGGCGAGGAAGATGGATCAAATACCTAGGCAATAAGTAATTAAAAACTGATGTACGAGTGTGTACTATGAGGAAAACAACCAAATAAAGAGCTTGGTGGAGAAAGATGTTATAAGTAGGCAGCCTTTCTTGGGGACATTGAGCTTATGTGATAATGGTGGAATGATTTGAAAAAGAGTAGCAAAAGTGGTTGCCAGCTGGAAGAATGTTACTAAGTTGTACATATGGAATTGGTTGAGTCTGTTTTCACCACCGTATGCTTTGTGAAGTATATTTTCACCCAATAAAAGTAAAGAAAGAAGAACGTCCACTGAGCTCAGAGGTAGCATGTGGAGAATGAGCTGGAGCTGCCTGGGGAGTGGGAAAGGTGGAGGGTTGTAAGAATGTGTAGGCTGGGACACCCTGGACTGGGAAAGAAGTCACTGTGTGAGAGGAATGAATGGTGAGGTCTTTCCCATTGGGTGGAGCCAGGGCCTGCTAAGGTGAGAGGACCGGAAATGGAATGGGAAGCAGTAGCTTTCAGAGTCCAGCTGCAAGCAGTGCTCTCTGATTGACCTGTTGAGGTTTTTTAATTGCCGATGGCGAATACATTGGAAAGGTTAATTGTGGAAGCAGATCTCTTTGGCACTTGGGACGTAATGCAGCCACAGTTGTGGTGGTAAGACTTTACTGATACTATTCTAGAACGGACTCTTGTGTTGAATTGGTCCAGATAACCTTTAAATGTTTCTTGTAACTCTTAAGATTCTGCAATAATCCAAAGCACTAGTAATACAATACGTAACTTCTTGTGTATACTTGAGTACAATTAAACTTGACTTCTATAATTGAATCTAGAAAAAGCATAGGCCCAGTAGAATGCAAACATGTGGCAACAGCGAGATCTAAAGGATACCTGTTGTGATCCAGTTATTAACCTTTTGGGTATTTTGTGAGACACAGCCCAGAGCTTCAGTGGCACAGTGGTGAAGGACACAGCTGCTAAGCAACGGTTGGTGGTTCAGTCACCAGCTGCTCTGAGCCCACTAACCATTCTGCCTGAGAAAGATGTGCTGTCTACTTCCCTTATGTACCGCCTTGGAAACCCATAACCCAGGTTTCGCTTGTGCAATAGGGCAGGGGTCCTCGAACTTTTTAAACAGGGGGCCAGTTCACTGTCCTTCAGACCCGTTGGAGGGCCGGACTATCGTTAAAAAACTATGAACAAATTCTTATGTACACTGCACATATCTTATTTTGAAGTGAAAAACAAAACGTGGCAAAACCCCCCGGCAGGGCGGATAAATGTCATCGGTGGGCCGCATGTGGCCCGCGGGCCATAGTTTGAGGACCTCTGCATAGGGTCTCTAGCAGTCAGAATCCACTTGATGGCAACAGGATTTTTAAAGATTTGGTGAGGTTGGCAAGAGCTTAAGACCCTGGCGTGGCTGCATTTACCAGGAGCTTATGAAACTTGTACTGAATGTGTCCTTTTTGTTTTTACTTAAATCATGTTTTTTGGCTTTTCAAATTAATTCACCTAACACTGATTGAAAGCCTATAATGTGCCAGACACAGGCATATAATTCTCTGCTGTCAGTAATAATTCTCTGCTATCGAATTGATTCTGACTCATAGCAATCTAGGATGGAGTAGGACTGACCCTGTAGATTTTCGAGGCTCTGAATCTTTATAGAGGAAAGCAGCTGGTGCGTTTGAACTGCTGATCTTGCAGTTAGCAGACCTGATCATAATCCAGTGCCCCGCCAGACACCTTCCAGTTACATAGGTAGTGGGCAAATAAATTCTAGTGAGATAGAATTGTTTGCCTTTCTTACTGGACAGTTCAGGGTATGGTATCCCTTGGCCACTGGGGATGGGATGCTTCTGTATTCCAACTCCGAACTTGCTGCCATTGAGTGGATGCTGACTGAGGGACCTGTAGGACAGGGTGATTGTGATGCCTTTAAAAAAATATATGCCTTTTAATTAGGGAATTGATGACAGATATTAGATATACTCTAAACTGGCAGAACAAAACGTGTTTTTTTTAACAGTTTTATTGGCACATAATCCACATAACATACAATTTAATCATTTAGTCATATCAAGAAGAATTGTACAATCATTACCACAATCAATTTGAGAACTTTATCCTTCTTTATTTCCCCCCATGATTAAAAGTCACCTTTAAAATGAGTTGTGTGATCACATTCAGTTCTAGTCCTCGCTTCCTCTCCAGGCCTACATTATTTACTTACTAATCACCTCACCCCGTCTCCCATCACTCTTCATCCTTACATCCCTACAAACTTTTGCATCAGTTATTATCTTGTGCATCCACTCCTTCTGTGCTTCACAAACTGTTAAACCCAACAGAAACAATAATGAACAGGAAGGAAACAGTGGTAAGGATTAAACAATAGTAACATAGTGATAAAATACAAACAATGAGTTAGATAAGACCACTATCTTCCCCTGTGAGCTGCTGATCTATCAGGACATTGGTACAAAATAGGATGTTAGTATGTAGTTATTTGTTAAGATGTTAGTAAGATTTTATGAGGATGACAATGATCATTAACCACTGTTAAGTACTGCATTGTAATGCCTACAAATGTATCAACTTGGCAAGGCCATCAATCTCAGAATTATGTAAGTAGTCTCTATTTTGTGATCTAAAGTAATTATCCTTTGTGTTATAAATCCTAAACTTCATGATGTTAACAGGACAGGATCAGAGACAATTATGTAAGTGAGGCAAGAAACTATCTACAAAGTTAGGTTGTATTGGCGTCAATCACTTTTAAGATTTAGTTATTAAAAGATCATTTTATTGGGCGCTCTTACAGCTCTTATAACAAAACATACATTAATTTTATCAAGCATATTTGTATATATGTTGCCATCATTATTTTCTAAACATTTACTTTCTGTTTGAAAGAAAAAAAAAAAAAAGACTACCATCAATATTTTAAAAGCCAGGGAAGAAATTTTTGTCATGAAACAAGCAAGAGATTCTTGCATCCAGAGCAAATTCAGGTTGAGTCTAGAGCAGTGGTTCTCAACCTTCCTAATGCGGTGATCATTTAATATAGTTCCTCATGTTGTGTTGACCCCCAACCATAAAATTATTTTCGTTGCTACTTCATAACTGTCATTATACTATTGTTATGAATTGGGCAACCCCTGTGAAAAGGTCTTTTGACCCCCAAAGGGGTCACGACTCACAGGTTGAGAACTGCTGGTCTAGAGGGAGGTCAACTGACCCAGTATCGAGCTTGATCCAGCATAATCAGGATTACAATGATCTATGTTTGACTGTAAGGTTGTTCCTGACCTTTGCCTGTGGCTAAAGGGGATGCCAGTGGCTTATCCGACTAGACACTCTGCAGGTGGGTTTTGGCCTTTCACTGTCCTCCACAGCCTTCCACAAATTGAGTGTTCACAATTTTACTTCTGATACTGGTCCCTTCATCATATTTGAGTTTTGTTATTGTCATCTTTGGATCACACAAGCTGGTGTGATTCTTCTATGTGGACTTAGTTGACCCCTTGCTTAGATGGCTACTTGTTTCTATACAAGCTTTTAAGAACCCAGACACTATTCTGATTGATGACCAGGCACCATCTGCTCTCTTCATCACTCTTTGCTGTAGCTCCCTTATCTTCAGTGATCATTTAATGAAAGTGAGTATTGAGCCAGGGCGATGTTGTCAGAACTAACTGTTCTTGGATTGGGGCTAGACTAGAGTTCAGTAGGAGCCCAGAATCCATCTGCTTGTCCATGGAATATGCCTGACTGAGATTTACTTTGGTGGTTGTCTTATGACAAAATGAAAGCCCCATAGGACCAACTACAGCAGCACCAGTGACAAAACCAACCAGCAAGCAAACAAACAAGGGAAAAAACAAACAAGCTAAGGGCAGGAAAATAAAAGCCCATATAAACAAAAAAGCACAACATTGTCAATCATCCCCCAGGGGAATAAGACAATTACACTGAGCATATCATCATTTTTACCAATGACACAGCGCTCCAGACACAGTCGGTTTGAGGAGTCTGTACACCTTGAGCCGGAACCGATGAGTTACTGCCCTGCACAGTTAGATCTCCCTTTCTGTCGAGCTGTGTGTATCCTCAGTATGGGGCTTGGTGCCTGGCTCAGTTCTCCCAAGAGCAGATCCCTATAAAAAAAACC